TGCTTCCATGGAGGAGCAGCCGCAGTTGTTGTTGTTGGTGCCGGAAGTTGTGTCATTATTCTTCTTCTTCGTCGTGCTGCTGGTGTGAGCATCACCACAGGCGCAAAAGTCCTCCATGCAAATGCCGATGAACGGCATGGGGTCCACTTCCTGTCAGTTACATTTTCAATAAGGTTATACCGTACATAGAAGGAACATGATGAACAGCATAAATGCTGGATCCTGTACACAGTACAATATGTGTTGAGATTATTGCGAGTCAGAAACCAGCATTATTGATGGCGCTGTTTAAATATGCAGTACTTTACTGTACAGTATATGACTCACTCATCCTGCTGATGGAGATTATCATCACTTCAGCAGCGGTCATCTGAATACGGTAACCAGCAATCATTTAACGACAATTCAGCCAAAAACATTGAATATCACGCTAATTTTTCTCCTTACAAATAAATTTTTTTACACAAAAATCCTAATAATACAGTACCATGATAACTCGAACTTCCCCAAATGCCGAATATTTTTAAAGCACCCCTCTGCATGAATTCCTTTGGGGGAAAAATGCATTGAAAACCCATGCCCAACTGAAGGACTATCAAAATCCAATTTTCAGGAGGGCTTTCGGCTATTAATTTATCGACACACAAAAAGAAAGAGAAAAAAGTTCTTTAAAAGGAATTGACAGACTGTTGATTGGGCAAATAAACCCGTGTCTCATCCAAACAAGTTGAGCATCCCGTCAACTCATTTATAAAAAGAATTCAAGGCCTAAAATACTGTAGTCGTACTCATTGCAATTTTCTTTTAATTCTCATTTCTTCTCCCCCGAAATGCCCGTTTCCCTAACTTCTATTTTTTTTTCAATTGTCCACGTGAAGTTCATATACTGTACTGTACAGCAGATGATTGAAATGTATTTTATATCTATATACAGTACTGTGTAGCAGTTCGTACTTGATGGCAATCGCTGAAGGCGACATCTGTCAGCAACTGCTGACAGAACGTAGCAGCGATTTCCGCTAGATCGCCGTTTTTCGTGCAGAAATCGATCGGTACCGGGTCCGGGCATCGAGAGGAAGTCTGACTCAATGCTGACGACGATGGACCCAGTTGCCAATCTGTCACGTGAGCTGACAAGTCCAGCTGCTGCTGCTGCTGCTGCTGGTTTTCAGCACCGGAGAACCCACTGTGTGTACCACATAGTCCGGACGTGAGGCCCCACAGACTTGTGCCAATTTGCACGCTTCCTGAACCCTGCAGTTTAATAATTAAAGTATTGTCGTGGGATTAACTGCAAGTTTTGATGGTGGTGCTGGTGGGGAAATGCCGAGGTTTCCCAAATTTCAAATGGCACGTTTATTATAAAATAATGCATATGCTGAGTGCTGACTGCAAAGAAAAGCTGATTATAATCAATGAAATGATTTACTTTCTTTTTTTATTTTTTTGAACAAGAACAAATTCGCTGAGCCTTCCTTTATCAATGGACATGGAATTCCTCTGTGTCAATAATATGCTGCATATTCAGTTTAAAACGAATCTTTGCCTGAACATTTTTTTACAAATCACAGAAGCTCCACGCGGTCTTATTTGAGTGTATTCAGGAAAAAGCATATTAGATTTATTTTAGAGTTGGTTTTAAATACACTTTTCTTAAGCTCTCTCTTATTTTGCGAATGAAATATAGAATTTTATCTTGCGTTCATTTTCGGAAAAAATGAAATACGAGTAATTTTATTTCATGACTGATACGACTTATGTTTAATGAATAACTTAATTTTTTCAAGATTTCATGTGATAAGATCTCAAAAAAAAGAATTTTCACCAGACATCTTCATTTGTTTCAGATGATGAAATCTATGCGGGTTAAATTAGTCGAATACATAATTCAATATGCCATATAGAAACTTGTCGTTTTCCGCGTTTCTAAAGTCTGAATTTTAGGTGCTCATTCCAAAAAAAAAGCGGGCTATATAATGTTGATCATTATCATATATTTGCGCGATACGCCATTTTTTATTCAAAACGAATAAGCCTACATTTTTTTAAATCTCATTTGTATGTAATTTAATTTTCGTTTTTTTTTCTTTTTGCGGAAATTCTTCAATTAAGGCATTGCCAAAAAAACGTCAGAAAAATCTTACCTCTCGTTTCCATACAAAAATCAAGTCGTGGTCCTCAGCAGAAACAACGACGCTGTCATCCGTCACCAGGTCCACCCTTGCAGCTCCCTCCAAGTGACCAGGAACAGGAAGTTCAGTTCCGAAAGTATTTTCTAGGACCGGATTTCCGTTTGCTGATGGGATCAAAAAAAAGGTCATGCACGAATGAAAATTTGTAGTTCTCGGGAAAATCGAAATATTTTCAACAAACCAGCGAAATGCAACTTGAACTTTTTCTCCCCAAATTCCAAGAAAATTGACTTGAAGCAGCTGATGTCTCCATTTTCGCAATTTCCGACGCTAGTTTCTACGTCAATGGCGAATCGTTTCTCTCCTCGAAGTTCTGCTAATCTGTAAATGCATCCACCTTCGAAGCTAAAAAAAAAAAATGAAGGGGGAACATGTATTTGAAAATTATATATGCATGCCTTTCAAAATTCCTAAATAAAAAAATGTCATATGTATAGTAACCTGAACAGTGAACCGTCAAAGGTATGATAATTTCTGCCGGACCAAAGTTGGCACTTCCCAGGTTTGGGCTTGATCGGTTCTTCTGTGGGAGCTATATATGTATAAAAATACATTAGACAAATTAAAATTTGTTTTGAAATTCTAGCTGATAAATCGCTGATGCAATATATAAATACAACACCTGCGATGCACATTGGAATTTCCGGCTCAAATGTGCCAGATGCGTAATCGCATTGAACTTGAATGTGTTGCTGATGATGGGAAGCAAGATCAACGGAGCCCGAAAACACTTGGCCCTCAGGGCATGACAAAGTGCATTCGTAGAAATCGTTCTGATGAGAACATTCATGGTTTCCAGCAAAGTTTGTTTTGTGGATGTCGCAGACTGCCGTGGCTGCAAATCCAATGTATCCCCATCAATTGAAATGCTGTATAAATTAATGATTGCATTTCTTACGGTATTCGCAACGTTTTCCCCTGTAATCTGAGGAACATTCACATTCGTTTCCTTTCAAGCATACGCCGTGGTTTTGACACTCCGGGATGCACAAGCCTGAAGGAAGCACGTTAAAACTCTTTGACTTAACTGATTGAGATAAAAAATAATAATGGCGACCATCAATTCTTATTAGTCTCACGCTCGCAAGCAGGCGTCGTTCCTTGCAAACCGGTGGAGTTTTTTGCCTGCCAAACGTCGTTGCCCACGCAGATTAACTTCACGGATCTGTACCTCGTCGTTGCTGCTGTCGAGTTGATAGAGGTGGGTTTCCAATTTGAGGGGAAAGCGAACCCCTCTTGACATCGTATCGTGCAATCACTATGATTAGAACGTATAGCTTAAAATTAATGCATTCGAAATCTGGAGCAATTGCAGTACAGTACAGTGTTTTCCTCGCGATTACGAATTCTTGTCTTTGTGAAAACATTTCAACCTTCTTTCCATGTTGAAATCTTATCTATTATTTTGAAACCGCGAGCTGCTGTGTATTCAGTATTTTGTGATTTTTTAGTTTTCAATTTACTGCAGCAAAAAGCAATCGATGCATGCTGGGGCCAATATGGTGCTGCTTTCACATGTCTCGTCCCTATTTCTTATCGATGATGACGCATTTTTGTCCAAGTATTAGTATTAGCGACTTACTCCGGTCCGCAAATGACGTCGGCGTTTGCTGGTGCGAGTGGATTTTGAGAGCATTTTTTCTTGTTTTCCTGGCAAATCGGACCTGAGAAATCCGGCGGACATTGGCAAACGCCAGGTCCCACGCAAATTCCTTTGTTTCGGCATGCCGGTTTGCAAATCGCTTCAATAGGAAGATGAATGAGATCAAAAGATTTTATGGTGATTATCGTTTGAAAAAAAAGGGTTTCCTTTTCTCGTATTCTTACGTAAGCAATTCGGTATGTCTGGCCAGTCAACTTCGTCCTGCACGAACCATTCGCCGGTTGAATCGTCACAGAGCAAAGTCATTTTTGTTGCTCCGTTTGGAAAGCGATAACGATCTTCGCAATTCGCTTCACACTTCGACTTTGAAGAACATGCTAAGGTCGAGCGAACCGGGGTTCTTGGTTTACTATTTTTGCACCGATCTGCGGGGTATACATACAAGTACATGCATCGTTTTAATTGCAATCAAGGACATTTCTCCATCTTCCTACTGTGCTCCAACAGGATGACTCAAGAGCTCACCTTTTCCCAGGATCTTGCCGCCGAATCCGAACAGGTTTCCCTTGTTGAAAAAGCTCTTGCTTCCACTAACAGCTTGGTCCGCGATGTCCTTAAGGGAGCTGTTTTTTATGGTTTCCCGTTAGCATACATTTACTGCAGTATTTATTGATTGTGCTTTTCGTACCTTTCCCCGGAAGCCATTAGGGATAATGCCAAAATCCAGACTGCTGGAATCAGCAGTACGATTCCCTTCATCTCGTTCGTGTTTTTAGAAACTGACCTCTGACAGACACTCACAATAATGTAGTACAGTACTGTACATCAGTGGTGAAATTTCATTAAGAAATTTACAATCAAAATTAGAAATAGGAAGACGACATAACGACACTCGTTATAGGCACAATGCGTATAGAGGTACTAAGAAGTGTCCAGCTCAGTGTTCAAGCTCAGCTCTTTAATCTGGTCCAAGAACCGAGTTGTACCCTTTCAAAGATTAGGTACTGGTTACTGAGGCCTTGAGCTACTTGAGGGGGAAAATGGAACGGAAACTTCGGTTTCCAGCATTTCCTCAAATTATCCTGACCCTCTCGTTGGTCGCGTACTACTCCATTATATGGAGGATAACGCTTCCGCCTGTTTGTTTGTCGCATTCCAAAAAACGAGAGGAAACTTACGTAATTTTTCATAGAAATGAGACGCAATGGGTTGAAATTCGGAATATATTCCATAAAAAGATAGGCAGCGACTCATCACAGCCGATGAGAGACAATGTTTCTCTTTCGATCAGCACCCGAAAAATGTTTTGGATCTCTTTCCTGCTGGTCCCGAAAGGCGAGGTACAAACCGGTCAAAGCTCACGAGAGCCAAAATCAAACAACAAATAATGCCAAAACGCGAAGCCGGTGGCAAGGTTCAAAACAAAAATACACCATCTCGAATTCTCGGCAGTAATTGCAGACCTTTACGGAAGCTACTCCACAAGCTCAAAAATGTCTGCCCTGAACGTCTTTCCTTTTCCCTTCTACGACAATGTGATGGAAGCCCGGCATGATAAATTTTCATCACGTCACACTTCCTATCCAGGTTCTTTTCTTCAGAATGAAACGCGGAATTTGTTTTCCTTTTTCACATCAGAAACAATTCTTCTCATAAACAAACAACCAACGAAGAGGCTCCGTCACACGCAACATATAACAAGGCTTCAGTTTCAAACACGAATGCTGAATTGCACTACGAACAGTCATCGACTTAGATCCAGATCTCCTCACGCCAAGAAATTAACGGAAAAAGCTGCACTTTCTTTCGGCAAATTCCAGGATGCAAAATTTTTTAGCCCGACCATCTGGAAACATCTTCTAGCGAATTCAACACACGAAGTTAATTTGCTTCACAATACATCATAATTTCTTTGTACGAAGTGCGAAGGTTACTATACCAATTTTTAAAACTCAATCTCCGTTTACAAGCATGCAAAGTTGCGCACGAAGGCTTATTTGAATTTTTCTTGCAAATTAACTTCCACAGCAATGCATGCTGTGATCATCGAGTCATTTTGAAACATACCAATCTATTTCGAGAAGATAAATATACTCATGCTTTTTCAGGATTTGCCCTTCGGGGGTGTCAGTGTTCATTGCATTGAGCTCAATTACTGCGTATTCTTTGTCATAGAAAGATGGTCCATACTCAGAATGGCTGCACTTATGTTATTTTTAGGTCACGAAAGAGCACTTCGCAAGAAATTCTACGGCACCATTGATTTCAAGATGAACTCAAATTGTCTGCAACAATATGAGATGAAGTGTTTCTTATATTGCACGAGATAAAATTCCGCAAATAAATTTTTCCACGTCACGCGAATGAACAAAATCTCAGGCATATACTCTCTAGTTTCCCTGTTATCTCTTCGAAGTACCATCCAACAAGTTTTACCACAGTCACAAACCTTCTCAGAGAGCATCTTACTTTATGACCAACCAACGACAATATGATCCTCAATTTATCGCGGATCAACGAATAATAAGCAAACTTTGCCATGTAAAAAATGCAATATTAAGACACCCGGAATTCAAGCAATTGTGCTGGATCACTTCGTTCAGCCTCCAGTATCCAATTACTAAAATAATTCAATACAGCCTCCAACGCCTCTTAAAATTCGTGATCCCTTCGAAGTCTTTACGGAATGTGTTTTGATTTGTTCAACAGGATGATAACTCACTCTCATCCTTCGCAACTTACAGATCAACAAAAAATCTCTCACATTCCACCCGCATGATCCCCAACAGCAAGAGCCAATCAATCACTCGATCAAAAGCCGGGACGGAAACCGGACGGAAAAGAAGGATCTCACGCAGGGCAGCAAGCACATGGCACATACAGTTGTTGTAAGCTCCTGAAAATATCTTGGATGTTACTGCGAATCGTCCTCAAACGAAGATGACTGTGTATTAGTCGATCTGACAGCGACTGCTGGCCCGGCGCTGATTTCAGCAGCTCCATAATCTCGTGTGGGCACTGGCAACACTTGGCCCGCTTGATCAGACTGGGATTGTATCAGCAGCACAGCAAGGGACGCCAGGATCAGGAAAACGCCGCATGCAAACCCCAACACTTGGCGATAATACAAATCGCACAACACAAACGGATCTCTGTGAGAAAAATATGTTCCACAATTCAAGAAAAAGTCTCACCCTAGAATGAAAGAGAAAAAAAATTGCCACTTACGAGCACGGATGCAACGACTGTATCAATACGATAACGAGTCCATTCGAAAGCTTGTCTGCGAAGCTCATGGCGCCGTAAACAAACGCTCCACTTTCAGTGTTCTCTCCAATCAGATCCGACGTGATCGACAGCGACGTTATCAAGATCGTCGACGAGCACATCCCTGCCAACACTGCCACCGCGTAAATCCAGTAGTGCTTGTAGATTTCCCCTTCACCCAAATAAATCCAGCCACACGCCACGAGTCCAACGGCTGATCCTGCTAAATAGCTCACCTGCGGAAATTTAATAAAATACAGTCAACTACCGTATCTTTTTCCCGATCTTAATTCAGTCAGCGAGTCGGAAACTCACTTTCCGTCCCAGACGACGATTCGTCCACTTGATGCAGAACGACGACCCAAATCCAGACACGTACATTACCAACGGAACAATCGCCAAGTTCCTGGCTTCGAGGTTCAGAGAGTCTTGCAAATATAGGGGAATGTAGACCTGGGTGATGTTGACGTATAACCGAGTCACCATGTACAACATTGCAGTCTTGTAAAACTCGGACAACTGCATCCAATGCCCGGGTTTCATGAAGCCGCGGTTCTTGATGGACTGCTCACGCTCTGCGCGGTCCATTTGACTCAAACTTGGAGGCTCTTTGACTCCGACGTGGAAAATGATCGAGAACACGGCTCCAATCGACAAGGAGATCAACACGATTTTCTGCGAACATTTTTAACATTATTATGCTGTATACAGTACTGATTCGGCGGTTCTAGAACGTCATGCAGGTGTCGCCTCAATCGCTGAACTTGACAAGAATAACCAATGACACAATCTAAAGAAAATCGGGTGAACTTAGGACAACACCAAGGTTGGAGAAATAAAAACAAACCAGAAACCTGGGAATCTGCTGGGCGTAACAGAGAAGCGTTAAAAGCAACTTATCACGCTCAGGGTAAGACAACGTACCGTGAAAGCACCAGAATTTTGCGGTCCTATCAATCCATTGGACATACTGTCATTCGCTTCAATGCCAAACGAAGCCCAGGCGATAACGTAAACCGTTACATTAGACGCCACTGTGAAGGCGTACCTGCGAATGTTCAATGATCGTCTGAAAAATATGACTAACCAAAAGCCGAGGAAAACGAGATGGCTCCACAGTGCGAGGACTTCCGAAAACAATTCAACTAATGTACACAACTCACCGTAAAGCATTCAAACCGGTTCGTTCATGCTGACACGACGCCAATTCGGGAATCAAGGACAAATGGGAAATCTGGACAGAAGCCCATCCAAACTGGAAAATGGCAACGAAGGCTCCGTAATAAAGGAGTTGCGCACTCTGACTCGAATTTTCGCAGTTGATGCACTTCATGAAAATGAAAGGCATTGTACCGAGGACACAAAGAGTACCTGATACACAAATTTCGGAATTTTGAAAATACATCAAATGACACGTGGATTGTATTTTTTTCTACGGGTCTCACCAATTAAATGCCACGTTTTCCGTCTTCCGTATTTGCACAGGTAGAATCCATCGTCACGATCGGATTCCAATCCCACAAAAGGTGTCGAAATGGCATCAGCAATTTGCCCTGCAAGAAAGCGAGCGTTTACCAATGAAAATTGAAAATGATTCGAAAAAATTATCTGCAAGACTTGGCATAGAATGCAAAATTTTTCAGTTCGAAGCCATTTGATACAAATACTTTTCGATGAAACTTCGCTAAAAAAAAATTAAAACACCTTTCCGTCCTCATAACATTTCAGTTTATTTTCAAATCTCGCTTCATGGAACACAGCAGCTGAAAATCTCTGAAAAGTGTCAAATGTGAGGGGAATGTCCTTGAACTCACCTATCATCAAAATAATGCCAGACAATTTATTGTCAAACTTCAGCACAAAATGGAAGTACACCAACAAGTAGGTGAACCACAGCGACGCGCACAAATCGTTGAGCACATGGCCAACCGCGAAGGCCCACTTCGGCCACGACACCAACGTCGACATTTTGAGCGCTGACGGAAAAAAAGTGGAAGAAACTCATTAAAACCAATGATTTCGATGCGGAATCCGACATTCCAGTCAAATACACCTCAATGAATAAGTGAGAAAAATACTCATCAACGATATATAATTCTTCATTCGAATTCAAACCACCGGAACACACGAAGCGGGTGGAAACAAAAATCAGCAAGCATATGAAATGCGAAGGACGTTCAGAAACTCGTCACCAACATCCCAAAACAACTTCCAGATTTATTACAGGAAAAAAAAAATGAGCGATCACGGTCTGGAGACGCGGAAGGAAATACAATAATACCGAATGCCCCAAGCGAAGGGAGTCATTAGTAGGCCAACGAGTTGCCGTAAAGCCCTCGCAAGACCCTGATGAATACTCAACAGCCCTTTCCCAATGATCTATCATCAAGCTCAACAAAACTACACACATCAATACACAAAAGCGATAAAAATGTGTTCCTTCGTTTTATTGAGACTACCAGAGAGAACCGAAGTTCAAGAGACAAACTTCGCCCTCGAATATAAAAACACTGAAGCTCCGGAATCGTTTCAATAATTCGTTAACTTGTTGTCTGGTTCAGGAAATAGGGAAGAGACGATTAAAAATCACATTCTTGACAAAACGCCAAGACTAATTTTGCTGACACCACTGCTTTGTACCTTAAACATCTTGAAATCAATCATAAGATGCTTCTCCAAAAGAAGGCGATTCAACGAATAGAACAGTTGAAAGTTACAAACGAACGACATCACTTCAAGAGAGAGAGAGCTGCGGTATACGTATAAGTTCTGGAATTTCGAAACACCATACGTCGAAAAATTATTCAGGCAAACGTCATCATCCCGATGGTTTCTGATAAACTTTTACCCTGTTATGTCCACGACACACTACGCCAACCAAGGCATAACTTGATTGATCTATTGACTACACTACATATTCACGTATAAAACTCTCAGCCTCACGGAAAACAAATCCCTGTATCACGTGAAAAATAAGACGGAGAACTGAATTGAAACAAAAAAAGAATAGTATAACTGGCACGACAACCTCTCTTACTGCTGCGCGAAAAAGAAATTACTTCGCTGAAAATCTTGCTTTTTTTCCGAAACAAAAAAAAAACACAGAATACGGCATAGTTTGAATCTCGATGAGCTCAACCCTGAAAATGGCACTTGTCGGGAATTTTTAGGTTGCACAGATTCACACAAGCATTTTTGTTGGATACCGTAGGATCACTGCAAGATCGATCGATTTTTAATAAAACAAGTTCCTACCCAAACCAGCTTGAGCAGACTCAATCCTCTCTTCCTTCAAGTTCAAGGGACACATTTTTCGGGGAATCGGTTGTTTCAAGCTTTGGACTAGTTTTTGCTTTTTTCTTTGCAAACAAAGATAATTTTTTTGAGAGAATTCCCAGGAAAAGTGGTAACCACTTCCAATTGAGAGGGCATCAAGACAATATCACAAAAATTTGGTCCTGTTTCGCTCAGCTGTCCCACTTTTTCGATCCAATCCCAACACGAAACAATCGTCTACTGTTCAGGTTTTTTTTTTTTCATTTTAGGCAAGTCAATTTTCGCAGTTTTACAGCCGGAACGCGCCGGGAATGTTTTGCTTTTTTTCCTCTGACCAGAGATTCAATCAAATTTTCACGACTTCCGACACGTACTCACGAGAACCACGTTGGCGAAGCATCAAAAAAGTCGTCAGCTGGACCAAAGTAAAAAATACCGTACCTAACCTCAGGTGGCGTTTAAACTCAGGCCGGAGGGCGGCCGAGAGTGGAACAGGTCGAACAACTTTTGAATGACAGACACGTCCAAGTACATGAGGTTGAAGTCCAACGAAGCCTCCGTCACTTGGTACTTGCCAGTCTCTTCGACGATGTCCACAATTTTCTGCATCATATCCACGTCGTGGTCCTTCTGCGCGTTCCCAATGATCTCGTGCAATTCGAGAAGACGGTTCAGATGATTGGGCGTCAACTGCAGTCGCTTCTCCATTAGGTCGCGATCCTTGTCCAGCACTTCCTGCGACAACGGCGTCTTTTGCGGAGATCCCTGCAGGTAGTCGTAAGGGTGGAGCATTCTCGACGGACCCGGTCGGTCGACATTCCGCTGTATCGGGGTCGCCCGCACGGATGGCGTCGGCTTTTTACCCGACCGCTTGTCGCCGAAACGCAGCGATGTCACTTCAACCTCGTCGTCGTGTGACAGGTCAACCAGCGGAATGTCCAGTTTCGGATCCGTCGGCTCTTTGCTGCCGAGAGGAGGAAGGCCACCTGATACAGCTGAAGCAGCAGCAGCGGAAGTAGGAGGAGGAGGAGGAGGAGGAGGAGGAGGAAGAATAGGTTGAGCAGGAATTTCCGGCGGGTCTTCGTGACTTTTTGCAGGAAGTCGCGGCGGCGGCATGATGACAGAGTCCTGGTTCCTCGGCTTGGCCTTTTCGGCCTCCATTCGAAGCGCCTTTTCCATCTCAGCCGCCTTCGCCTTAGCTTCGGCCTCCAGGCGAAGACGCTGTTCTTCCTTGCTCTTGGCGGCTTCCGCCTTCAGGCGCTGCTCCTCTTTCGCCTTGGCTTCAGCCTTTAAACGTTCTTCTTTCGCTTTCGCCTCAGCTTCCAAACGAGCCTTGGTTTCGGCTTCTGCCTTTTGCGCGTCTTCTTTCAACTTCTGTTCAGCGGCAAGTTTCTTGACGCTTGTTTGTTGTGGCGGCGTTTTGGAATTGGTGGAAGACGACGACGTCGACGAGTCCGAGTCAGAATCGCTCCGAGACTTGACGGTCTGCGGTGACAAGTTGGCCAAAAGCGCTTTGAGCGGATTCTTAGTCGCCTCTTCCTTTTTACTCTCCTGAGTGGTCGGGGTTTTGCTGCGTTTCCTCTTTGCTTTCAGCTGTTCCGCGTCCGACGACCCAGTGGCGTCACTCAGAGGCGACACTGGCGACATCGACGGCTTCCGCTTCTTTTTCGACGATGACACGGGCTTCGCAAACGACGGGGCGACAGGAGGTTTCTCTTCTTTTTTCGGAGCCGGCGGAGGAGATTTTGCCTTTGCTGGTTGTTCCACAGTTACGGCCTCCACCTTCTTCGACGGCTCCTTCTTGGATTTTTCCTCATCCTTCTTTTCGTGTTTCTTCTTGGACTTTTCTTCTGGGGCTTCGTGCTTAGATTTCTTCTTCTCCTTGCTCTTCTCGCGCTTGTCGTTGGAAGATTTTTTGTGCTTGCTTTTCTCGCGATCTTTTTTGTCTTTGGACTTGCTGCTGCTGCCGCCGCTACTGCTGCTTGATTTGTGGGATTTCTTGTCGCTGTTCTCCTTGTTCTTCTCATCGTGCACCTTAGGCTTCTTCGACTTGGACTCCGACGACGACGACTGGATTTCAACTTTCCGCTTCTTGCTGCTCTTCTCCTTGTCCTTACTCTTGGAGCGTTTTTCCGAGGAATTCGGCGATGTGACCGGCTTGTCACCGGTGTCGGGTTTCTTCTCGGGATTCGTGGTCACCAAGGGTTTAGTGGGTTCTTTCGGTTGCATTGCGGATTTCGGCAAGGGTTCACCGAAAAGAGAAGAGAACGTGTCCCGCGGCTTCTTGAGAGAAGTTTGTGACGAGGACTTTTCCTTCGGCTTGTCATCTTTTTTGCTCTTCTTCTCTGACTTCTCTGTCGGTTCACTTCCAGAAGTTGACTTTCCCGTACCTTTCCCCTAATTGAAAAAAAAAAGATTGATTCAATCAGAAAATAATAATATGAAAAATAAAAACTCAACAAATTTTCATTTGCGAAAATTTTGCATCCTTTATAAAAAAGTTCGTACTAACCGAATGAATTTTGGATTTGCTGGGCTTGGAATCGGAAGGATTTCGTGGAATTCCGTTTTCCAACGATCCAGATTTGACAGCTGCGATAACATTGGCATGCGGCGATCGTTTCCCACCGTGAGTTGTCGCTGTTTCTTCTCCGTGCCCTCGACTCTGTTGATGCACTTCATCGTCTCCAATCAGAACCTTAATTCGAAATAAATGAGGATGAGGTAAAAATCCATTTCCATGAATGAAGTTATAAGCACTGTACATCGTAAATTAAATTTTATAACTAAAATATCAGGCAAACTGCAGTACTGTAATGTACTGAAAACGCGAAAGCGGCTAAATAAATAAAAATAACTCACGCCCCCGCCTCGCAGTAGTTTTCGTTTAAAGTCCTCTCCCGGTTTCTGAAACGTAAGCTTTTCGGGACGGATCGAATTGGCATCCATCGAAGGGTCGCTGTTGAAGAACAGATCAAAGTCGAATTTGGCGCTTCTCGGTTCGAGGCTGGTCTTGAAAACGAGCTCGATCTTGAGCAGGAACCCGGCGTAGCCACTCTCCGACAACTCATACGGAGGCTCTTTCACAACTGGAAAAGAAGAAAGATGCATACACAAATTGGTACTAAAGCACAAAAAAAACATAAAGCCGACAAGAGAATCGATATATTAAAAATGTACGTTTTTTAAATTGTTCGTTGAAATAACACCCGAACACAAATTCAAGACCGATTTTTCTCATTTCGACTTTGAAACTGAGAATTCGTATCAGAATCTACAACGTTCCCGGTTCATATACGAAATGCTAATTCACTTTGCGGTCAACGAAGGGCGCCAATTCCTCGAAATAAATGCCATTATGCCACTTGTGAAGGATCTCTACAAACAATCTGAGCAAAAATTTCAACATAAAAATTTTATTTCTAAGTCCGAACGTGGGAAAAAAATCTGGGCATTCCGAAATGGTTTATAGCGAGGTGATGCGGCTTCTTTTTCGGGTCATGGCATGGTTAACACGAAAAATTACATTTAAAAATTCGAACGGAACTTTATTTGCATTTCAACATCGCAACGCATCATATTTATTGATAGATTACAATGTTCTTATTGACGTCGTTCTATTTCATGCAAAAAAGTGAAAAAACAATTCTGTAACATTGAAAACTCTTGTAAAGCAAGTGCCAGTACGTCTTAATTGAGATGAAAAATTATAATGCGTCTTAGCTTTCAAATTTGCGCAAAACGCTTATTATATTTTTAAATTCCATCAACGATACGAAACAATCACGAGAATTGAAGATTTCGTTTTGCTTATTCAAGCAACATCGACAAAGACTCGTCCTACAACATGAATCGTAATAATGCAATACTGTACAGCAGCAATTCAAATGAAAATTTGTGGAAATGACATAAATTACCTCGTTTCGGTCTAGGAAAACTCGGATGAATGGTGAATATCACTTTCTCCACAAAGCAAGATAGATTGACATCCACATCTCCGCGAACGAACACAGTCCAGTCGTGGGTGTAGCCTTCCGAACTGGGGAACGCTCTTTTCTTGACCGTGTGACCCAGAAGAATTCGCACCTGAACGTTTTGCTGCAACACATTCAAATATATCGTCAGTATTTACTGTAATTAAAGCTTTGATACCAGGACAATCACGATCATTTGCATTATTTCAATGCACTGACACGATTCGAACGGACGTTATTGGAGCCATGACATGACGACACAGAATTTCCAGACAAATATCGCTGCTACTACTCATCCCAGATTCACGGAACATCCAATCGGAAACTCACGGCTTTGCCAGGCGAAGAAGGAAAAAATATCTCACCTTTCCAGCCATTCCTAGACATACGAAGAGTTCATGTCAGTTTCCAAGGAATACGACGCGGCGCAGGCGCCGGAATCAAAGGAATGTCAGCTACGCGACATATGTGACACATAAAAACGACACCAAATCGTCATATATCTGCAAAAAGCCACAAAATAGTTCAGCATCGCCGTATATTCCAAAAAATACATACATATCCGGTATGACGCATCCAAATGTAAAACAACGCAGCATCAACTAGGTGTTGCACCTTTCGGGGCTACCGAATACACACTTACTCGTACGTCATTCGTTCTTCTCTTTAATCCTCAAAAAAGTTGACCAATTGCAACACGCGACCCAGCTTGCCACAAGAACACCGTTGTACAAACTTTAATACACTAATTTATTCATCGAAAAAAAAAAACCCTGCCTCGAAGTCTTGGAAAAAACGGAATCCGTCGCGAAAAAATGAAAAAAAGTAACTACAGTATATAGATTGAAGCACAAAGAAAAAGACCCCCAAGAGTTCAACACATCGAATTCTTCAAATAAACCCTCTAATACAGTACTTCTAGTAAAATTCGAGCATGATATTCGGTTGTAAGAGTCCTGTGAACCAAGTCGTGAAAGTAACACACTTTACCGCAGTTTCTTCAAGATTCCTCGACGGTAAAAAAGAAAAACCGCATTCACGTCGTTTTTTTTTCCGAGAGGGTTTCCAACGTACCGCATTCTTCAGCTTTTAATGACTGCCGGAGACCCGAGAACAAAGACATTAAACAAAACACGCATTAATCCTGCCAAAGGCGCAGATTGAAGTCTTAACCTCACTGTAGACCCTCTCAAAAATTTGAAAACTCGCATCATAGATCACCTGAATAAGATATCAAACTTGTTTACACATGATCGAATCTCGTGCGATCATCACTCTCTCGTCAATCGACTTGACGTACGCTAATACTGTACATTAACTAAAAGAGATGAAAAAAAATCAAACATATCACAGTCGGTGAAAATTCTCACTTGACCACGGAACAATTCCAAGGAACTCACCTTGCTCGATCGCGAAGTCGACACGCCGAATCCATTCGTTAATACCGTCCCGAGTAATCGTATGCCCTGTAGACGAACGACGCGAAATATTGTTTTCTCCTTGCGGCACACAACAGCAAAACCAACATTCAAACCCAGGCACGCGCTCTCACTCAACAAATTGCACGAAACGATCCGAAACCGCGATCATGAACTCAGCCTGCTCGCATAGCACCTAAGTACGTGTACATTGAATCCCTCGGGTTCCCAGTTGAACCTGTCTCACGACTAGATTATCACCAAAGCAACAAAAAAATATGGACCAGATGAACTTTATGTAGAGTACTTCGGTGTCGAGAGGAAGCTTGTTTCTTTCCTTTCTTTCCATCGAATCAATGACTCCTAGACTGAAAATGAGCGACAACAAGATTCCAGACAAGTATCAACATAAGGTTCACCACAAAAATCTCCGGCATTCAAGATTACGATTAGCCATTACCGAAACGAGTTCGTTAAAATCGTTCGCTCGATCCCATTAAACTGTTCACAAAAGTTGTACAGTGTACAAGGTATTAAAACAAGTTCGTTTCCTTAAACCTCGGGGTCAACTCGAAATTTCCGATTTAAATCATTCGTAATAGCATTACGTGGAATGCAAAAGAATCATCGAGATTCCCATGTTTCGTGAATTGAAATCAATTAATGACGGAGCGACGACAAAATCGAAGAATTATCGTCAGCTACAATACATGAAATTACAAAAAAACGAACTTGAGGAGACGCTGACAAAATGTTCCCGAGATTTAGTTCAGGGACGTGGTCGATGAAAATACGCAATCACGAATACTGCGTTCTTATGAGAATATCCGACTTCAACAAATTAGCCAAATACAAATACTGTACTGAGCCCAAATGATAATTGTAAACTGCGGTAGATTTATCTGTTGCATACTTTCGAAAAATTACATCACGTACTACACTAAAAAATGCCAGCCACGATTTCAGCATGGTTTCGAATCGTGAGTAAGAGAATCGCACGGGCCCGGATCTGAAGCGTGAGGAAGCGAGACTGTGGGAAGTTACCGAGAAGAAGCGGCGGCCAACGACGATGACGACGATGGGTACACGGACCTAGCAGCGTAATAGGAGTCGATGGCAGCTCGCGACGCGGATCCGGACGTCGGCGACGGTGGTCCTGCAGCAGCAGCTGCCGCCGCTGCCGCTGCAGCCGCCGCCGCGTAGTAGCTGCGACTGTAACTCTCGTAGCGGTCTGCATAGCGCTCGTAGCCCGACACCCGCGCCCCTCCTCGACGGTCGTACAAGTTCTCAACCATGGCGGCCCGCATCCGATCGTACCGATCCCGATCCCGATCCGCGTACCTCTCGTCCTACCGACCCCAACAATACACTGACTAAATTTTCCCCCCAACACTAACACGTCATCAGCGAACAACAAAGCATTTCACTGATTGCATCAGAACAATGCCCCGAGTCACACATATGTAGGAAGCACCATCACTCACTACGAAGCGCATGGCATGATGAGCGTCTTGCACACAAAATGGACCAAAAATAGTATTGCACTGAACATTCATTCCAAAATCTTTCGAAGGATCGTTTGAAAAATAGTATGAAATATGGAGTTTAGTAATCAGAGCAGAAATGAAAATTTACGAAAACAGGTCGGGGAGTGACACGCATTTTTTCAAGGGTCAGCATTCGACGGCCGTACTGGGCGTGTACATGTGCAACTGAGAACCAATTCGGAAAGACATATCATTCAGGACATTAAAGTTACATGTTCAAAATTGGCCTTCTTTTTTGGTCAACCCTGTGTAGTTGCTGGCTTTGACTCGATTTTTAAAAAACGAGATCCACAGAATAAGCTTGAAACACATGCATGCACCAGCAATACGTCCCTGAAGGGATTTTTATCAAGCATAGTTCCTTCCATCATTAGAGGAAGAAAGCGAGAGACCTTTAGGCCTGAACAAACGAGTCGTTGGATCAGCTCACTGTTTCCATTTACCGTAAATGACCTGCTATGAGATAATATGCGAATAAAAACTGCGAAGGCAGACTCGAAATAAATGCGGGATACAGTATGGTGCAACGCATCATCACAACAAAGCTCATCACAACATCAGAAAATGTTATGGTTCTTCGTAGAGTTTGGTCTTGTCAATATACAGTAATTTATTCAAATTGTATGCGACTGCTTCGTGAGAACGAGATAAAAAAAAAGCAATCTGATCATAACGGACACAACTTTAATCTTCATTTTGTTTTTTAACGCTGGAAATGAGAGGAATTCAAGAGGAAAGAAATCCAGAAGAGAAGCCCAACTCCAAAAGAAAGGTTTAAGATAGTAGAAAGCGATGGTACACGCGACAAGACTCACGTAGCGGCTGAAATACGCCGGCGATGGATAAGGCGCGGAACGGTCGCGAGCATACGCCGATCGCAGCGAGCTTGACAAGGAGGCATACGGATCCGCACTACGCATCATCGCGGATCGGTCCACAGTCCGGTATCTGCACACCAACAACAAACGCTGTCACTCTCACACTTATAGCCCAATCGCCATCACCGGCCCAAACCAGGGACACTAGGTTAACAAACCCGTCGTACGATGGCACTCTTTCCGAGTATCGATCAATGGGAGTAGACGCAGACGGCCTCCGTTTCGGCCTGCTGCTCGACGCCTCGATCGTCAGCGTATTTCCATTTAGCACGTGCCCACGAAGGCCTTCAATCGCGTGTTCCGCTTCTTCGCTCGACAACATATGCTACGACAATATGAAATGCAACAAACTTCATTCACGTTACAACAAAGACACGCACAGATAGGAATCCACCACCCGTCATCATGCGCCCAATGAGTTCCTAATCAATACTCGGAAAAGCCTTTAAAAATTCACAACTCTTGCCATCTTGAACCATTTCTAAGATACTGTACTAACGATGAACGCGTAGTTCTTGACTTTCGCACACTCCGTCACTGTGCCGTACGCGGCGAATAGATCACGTAACTCTTCTTCGGTTGTCGCTTCGGTGACGTTTCCCACGTAAATTTTCGTAGATTTATCAGACAGATTTCGTCCGCCCGGACCGCGCCTCAAGAAAATAAATAAATAAAATGAGGATTAGTAACCTACTTTTCGGGACACGACTATTTTACGTACTTGGGGCAATCCCGAGACCAGTGCCCACCGTCTCCGCAGAAAAAGCATTTGTCTGATCCTCCCATTCCTGGTTTTTGGCGAACTTCACTCCTGGACTCTTCCACGTTCAGTCGACGGCCGTTGTGCGTGAAACCATTCAAGGCAGCGATTGCAGTGCGGGCTTCTTTCTCGTCCGACATGTGCTGAAAATTACACAAAAACACACAGTAAGGTGACGACAAATTACAAAGCAAAAATACAGACAAACGTGAGAAAAAATTAAAGAATCCTCAAATGATAACTCGAATTTCTCGGAAAGGACTTACCACGAAGCAGAAGTTCCTGACGATGTCACATTCAACAACTTCGCCATACTTGGCAAAGAGATCTCGTATTTCGTCAATAGGGGCCCCAGGCACGAAGTTACCCACGAAAATTTTCGTACAAGAATCCAGTCGCCCGGGCATTTTGGCACGATAATATTATATGTTGGAAACAATACGTCTGCGGATGAAGAGAACTGCGAATCTGAAGTTTATAAAACCCTAAAATACTACGGGTTTGAATGCGTCACGTATAACTTCTCATATTTCACAGAATCAACAAATTATTAGCCTGGCTTGTATTGAACAGCAATCCTGATCTTTTTTTTCTCTTTCAACTCCCAACAATTACTCCCAAGCCTTTTCTCGCGTAAAGATCATCAAAATCAAAAACGAATTCGATCCATTTACACGCAGTGAATTCCGAGTTCTAAACAGAAACGTTGGTGAATGAAAATAACATACAGAGAAGGTATTTAAAGAAGGTCCTTGAATCTCAGTCTAAACAATAGCAGTTGAAAATAAGTTTTGGGCTTCGGAGAGTTCCAGCTTGCATGGTACGAGAATGTGTGTACCGAATCGGACGATCTTGGATTAGTTCACGCGGATTACTGGAACATCCCATAACCCAGTGGATTGTATCTATTATTAGGACGATCGCTTCGCATAGCGCCGATCCCACCGTAAGCCGAAAGCGGCACTCCAGCTCGAGAGGGAAGACCTCCGTCATAGGCGTATTTTCCCATCATTCCTTCTTGGAAGCCTCCACTGCCGAAAGGGGCTGGTGCTTGTACTCTGGGACCACGATTTGCACCAGCAGTCCAACCAGCATTGTATGCTGCCTTTTGTTTCCCGTGATCCTCGGCAATTTTGATTTTGAACGCTTCAGTCCCACCAGGCGGTATTGTCCCGTCTAGACCGGCGATCGCGGCTTGAGCTTCATCCTTCGTATCAAATCTACGGAACAGAAGTTCACGAATTATCAGTACAGCACTCGAAATCACGACAGAATCATTACCAAATTCTCACCTAACAAATCCCACTCCGCGCGAAGCACCAGTAATTTTATCTTTGAGAATATTCCGCTGAATTATAGCCCCGTAACTGGCGAACACCTGCTCCAACTGGGCTTCATTATAATCCCGAGGGATTCCAGCAACATACAAATTCGAATCCTTGATATTTTCCCCAGGAGGTCGAGCATACGAAACCTTTATCTTCTTGTTCATTACATCGAGTCCGTTGAGGGTTTCAATAGCTTTGGCAGCATCTTCCGGTCTTTGAAAATCAACGAAGCCAAAACCGTAACTGTACCCAGTCTGAAAATTAAACAGGGTTCATTAATATGCTTTCAGAGGTTGGAAAGAATGAACATACCTTGAAGTCTTTCATGACCTTGCATGATTTCAACGTCCCTATTGTCATGAACATGCATTGTAGCTCCTTCTCATTCATGGCCTGTGGCAAGTAGTTCACGATGAGATTTGTCCTCGTTTCCGTTCTCCCGGCGGATGTCTGGGGTCCTTCAGACTGCATATCTGAGTCAACGTCCTTCTTCTAACTCGATCTCGACTTCAATCAAAGGAATCATACCAAATAAAAGCCTTCTCAAGAACGCCCAGTACGATTGTAAAGGGATCGCTAAAATACATTAAAATAAATGAATCCCCAGCGTTCATTTCGCCGGCGAGCAGGTGCGGAGATAGAAGTTCACGGCTAAAAGGCCTGGCAAGAAAAAATTCCCTCTCGCGCAGTCAAAATACACAAAAATAAAACTCACGATGTCCCTGCCGTGTTTTCTTCCTAAACTCACTGGGGTAGTATGAGACGTTTGAGGGCACTGAGGGTGAACAAATTATGGCAATAACAACGTTGAATGAATCACACCGCTCGAAAACACTAACACAAAAATTATTATTCGAATTGAACCATGGAAGTGCAGCAATGAAATTCTGATGACTCTCTCAGCAGCGTTTACCGACGTAATTGAAGGTGGGACGCCATCTTGAAAACTAACGAGGAGGTAATTTTCTGTGTTTAGTGCATTCAATATTTTGAATGTAATTTCTTCTGATACCCTGAATTTTGTTGTCAAGTTACCTCTATAAGGTATGAACTCTACGAAGAATTTTTTTGCTATAAACGGAAATCCTATTAAATTCTATATCCAACAAAGGGAGACAAAAGACTCAAAATAAAACCATGAAATCTGCTGCAGGATATCTACAATGGTAAATGACATTCACTTAGGCTAAATCCCTCTTCAAAACATTGGCTATGCAGGAATCTTTCTTACACTTCATTGAGGTTCGATTTTCAACATTTTCAAACTTGGTTCGAAAATGTCAGTTTCGAACGATGCATCGTATTGAAGCCTCACTGTACACAATGCCTCTTTACAGTAGACTAAATATCAACACCGACTAATCGAATTTCTATTGAACCTTCGAAGCTCGATTGTCCACTTCAATGAACAAATGAAGAATCGCTCCACGATACGAGAAAAACGTTCATTCTTTTTATTTAAAATCACGGCGACACCCTGGAAAGTAAATAAAACAATTTTCAAAACTCATTAGAATTGGCTTCTGCTTCACTCTGAGTAATCGGCGTCTCTCCAAGCAAGCGCAAATCGGCTTCCAGCTTTGTAATGGCGACTTCAATCTCGTAATTTTTGGAAACCAAACCAATCCACTTGGAGTTCATTTCAGCTAATTCATCTCCAACCCGTTTCTGCTGCGATTTCCGGGAGAAGTTCACCTCTTGTACTTTCTCTCTAACAAGAATGAAAAAAATTGAGTCAGATAATAGTCATAATACAGTAAAAATCCGTCTTCAGAAATAACCAGATCCCTGCATGCCACCAGTCCGTGATTTTTATCAATAATGCACAGAGCATCGCCTCAAATTGAATGTGCCTTTTTTAGGTACTGTATGATCAAATGTTTTACTCGACTGTCGGTCGAGCTGTACATTAAAAGCTGTCCTCTAAAATGCTTTTTATAGCATCAATCTTTGTTGAAAGGCTGCACTGGAATCAAGAAATTTGACTCGTGACTTTTCAGCAACAACAAAATATCTTGAGCTTTTAAAGCTTAAGCTTAAGCCTTCAGCTTAAGGGCAACAAAAAATGAGTGTTCAAGTAGGCAAATGGCTATTGCATAGCCATCCACTGTCATCATTCAGCGATATAACCTATGCTTTCATGAATGAATAGCTCAATTTCATCATCTGCGAAGTTCCCCATCATTAGGCGGCCGTTACATATTTCAGCTCAGATGACTTCCCGAAGTCAGCGTCCCGACTATTCATACCGTAGGTCAGGCATCGAGAAATATAGAGTCGACACCTGACAAATGTCCGTTCATATGCGTCGACAAGCACGATGAACCTGAGAAGCCACTTGGTATCGAAACGTCTTTTCATTCGAACAAACCTCAGTTTTGTAAGTTGCTTCTGAGCAGAAGATAGCATTCGCACCAACGTTTCGTTATAAAGCTGCCACGACTGCGGTCCTCTTTCCAATAAAACTTCGATATTCGCCAGTCTGACAAAAAGGAATCGTTCATTTTTAAAAATAAATATTTTCGAAGAAGTTGAAAATGTCACGCAAAGCACCTGACAAACTGATGCTCAAGCTGGGCTGACGAGTTGTCGACGCATTCCGCCCATGCTTGCACATCGCTAAGTTTCCCGGCAGGTGGCGGAGGAAGGTCATAACGCTTCATACTCAGTTTCTCAAACGGTAGACGATTCGCAATTCTCTCAAATTCCGCTTTCATGATGGGCGTCTGAATGGAGAGAAGCATTTACAGTACGTCCCTGCTTCACTATTTCCATGGAGTGAACAGAAAGTTAATGGGCAGTGAAAAACGTTTGCAATATTTCGAGTGTTTCCCCTCGTCAATCGGGAATGATTTTAGTACGATAGATGTCACTAGCAGTCTCATTCGAATTTCAATTACATTGAGTTATCACATTTATACAATTTCTTTCTTTTTTCCCTGTGCACATGGGAATTGCACCTTTATAAGCAAATAAGAGAGAAAAACTTTTCGCCGGGGAGTCGGAGAAAAATAGTTTTCTTCAGCATTAAGTTGGATTTTTTTACGCCAAATCTTAAACATCGGCAAATAAATAAATGAACGAACATCAGCACAACCTTCCCTGTCAGTTCAGTCACACAAAGAACGTAACCGCTAGCTAATGTTCACTTTAGCAAAAACGCATGACACCATATTTTTTCTACAAAATTCAATCACCTCAAAAGCGGACAGGTTCAACGGCGGAAGATGCTCTAGATAATTTTTGGTCGGCCGATATTGTTTCTTCTCTTCTTCGATCATCCTCATCACCTGAAGACATGAGAGATATACTACACTCTATTGAAATTGATACGGGGATGTAAAAGGATTCACTAACCGTTTCGCGAGCACCTGGTTCGTCCAAGTCATGATCGATGTAAGCGAGCGCATCGACACTATTGTCTACCAACATATTTTCTGGAGAAAACGAAGTCCTGCGAACAGATTAAGCACAGCCACACATCAAATGAATTGTGAAGTAGAAGTTAAATATTTAAAAAAGTCAAACGCAATGCTGTGCGACACAAGAAATCCACGTGTGTAGGCAGCTTTTCCGTGATTTTCACTCGGCATTAATGCCATTCAGCAGTGATTCAGCAAAGCCAAGTACAGATGGCTACTGATGCGCTGCATCAAGGCAATAAAAGTACTCGGCAGAGAGAAACGGAAATTGCATCGAATCTGCATTTATGCATCAACTGGATGGCAGCAAACCGTTATGCGAGACAACTGGTACAGGTGCATTTCCCCCCTTTTTTGCACAGTTTAGATGAGTTCTAGAAGAATTCTTCAAATACAGATCATAACACAGCGAGAAGGAACGTAGCCAGCGAAGTGCACGGCACTCCCTGCCTCCTTCACGAACGACAACTATGAACAATCACGAAAATTACGGATCATCGAAGCAGTGCAAAATAAGTCAACGGGAAATCGCTGCCATCATCCGTAAAAAAACTTGCCATAACAAAAGCACAATGCCATCACATCAGCGCCGAATTCGAATCAACAACTCTTCTTTTCGAAAGAAGTCTGGTACAAAAAATCAAAAATTCGGATGCCAAACACAGATGAACATCATGGCAACTTCTGTTATTTCTCGTACACAAAGAGCGATCAATCTAATATAAAAAACAAAAAAATTCTTGAAGACCTTTCACAGCAGCCAACGTCTTGGCAAAACGCTTTCAAGTTTTCGGCTCACCGGAAAATATTGAATTTAGGAGACGAGAATGTCTTTAACGAAGCATCATGATAGGGCAAATACAGTATTTCGCAATTGAAAATTTTCGAGTGATGACGGAAGTCATCAACACAGTGTACACCCCCACCCCCTAAAAACAGAGTAAATCGAGAACATACTCAATTCTGGCAAAATTCAACTACTGTACTCGAGTCTTGAACTCGATGCAGAAGGGCGTACGGTAAACATTCGACGACGACCTCACTCTCACTGCAAACAATCGATTCGGTCTTCGGAATAAAGCTCGAAAAGTTCAACTAAGTACTGCACATCCAGTAATCAAACAGAACAAAAATAAAACTAGAACCCGCCCGAAGGACTAGCAACCGGATACAAGTTGCGCTTTCTTGCGCTCCCGAACAGCGGGGTGCCCGCGTAATAACTCGCGCTTCCGGCAACGGGGCTCTGCATCACCTGCGACGGCGAAGAGCCGCCACCACCGCCGCCTCTTCCTGGTGACCAACTCGGCGACACAAAAGAAGTCTGGGCTGCAGACATCGGCGCTGCTCCCCACCGACCAACCACCAGGAACTGGTAGGCAACAAAGATGAGCACCACCACCAACACCGCCTCACCGACGAACAAAACGTTCGACACGAGCAACGAGTTGAAACCGGATTCCAGCCAAGAGCCCGTGTCACGTATGGCACACTTGCGAATTGCTTCCGCATCTGATCCCACGAGAACTATTTCTACGGGAACAATCAGTCGCTGACCTGCAGGAAAGAAATCAATCGCGTCAAAATCAGGTTTTCTCCGGCAAAAAAAAAAAAAGAAAATCCTCGAGATGATTCACCAGTAAGTGGAGAGGTGAGCGAAATGCTCAATGGCGTCTGCTCCAGTCCAACTTTCTTCCAGTAAGCAGACGTAACATGAACAGGAATCAACCAAAATGCGCCGAAAGGATCCTTTGTGACTGGTCGAACATCTAAATAATTTTCATTTGAAGGAGTCACCTGCAACAAAGTTATTCAGCGTAGAACTCAGTGAAAGTAAAGTAAAAAATATATAACCAGCCATACATTGCGCTGTACTGTAAATAATTCAATTTTCTAAGTTATTTATTTAATAACTCTATAATTATTATACTGTATATATAACTATATATATATATATATATATAGATATGTTCACACAGAGAAAACCGGAGTTTTCGATTATGCTTGAAAACAAGTATTAAATAGCAATTGAGATGCAGTGTATTATGCATCAAATAATGCCTGATCAGTTGCGTAAGGTGAGAATGAACTGCGAATGCTCGGTAAGGTTAGATGCAAAGACGAAGAAGTCCTGACGTTCGTCATGCAGAAGGCGAGGGTAAGTAAAAATAAATTTGTTTAGTTTCAAAAAAAGTCAAGAATAAAATAAGTACCACGATACTGGCGAAGACCCTCTCGGTCGCTGTGATGTTCAATATTGCAGTTGTGTCTCCACTGGAAATCGACAGCCCAGCATTCACAGTGAACGCGGGATACAATGGCAACTCGACCTCATTGGACACCAGCTCGTTCCTCCCGTCCAACGTGGCCCACACAAGAATAACTGGATTCAATCTGGCCAGTTCTTCGCTCTCGACTATACCAAGACCTTCGCGACGACTCACGATACACTCGACTCCTCCAACAATCGGGTTCAGTCGGGCTTTCACGCCGAAAAATGAGTCCAGCTTCAGCGAGGTGCTCGAAAAAGACCGATCGAACTTCCCGTGGCAAGTGAATGGCACATGAGGGACAGATGGAGCAACTTTGTCGTCCGTGCAGAACTTCGTACGGAGACTTTTTTCACTGACCAAACCACTCGGTGTAACTTGAATCGGGATCTCCACCACGGCATTCACAGCAAGACTCAAGCCTTTCGAAAAAATTGAATGAATAAAACTGTCAATAATTTTTTTGACTAATAAAAAAATCTTCAGATCACAATACTGTACCTCTGATTTGAGGATCCTGGACAAGTTTGATTTCAGAAGGTGGAAGTACATCCAAGGTCACGTGAGTTTTCGCTTCCCCGTCAACACCACCATAGTAAATCACAACCTTTCCAGGCTCTTTGGCAACTCCTACTCCATCTTTCCGCGATACAAATAAGATGCGATCAGAAGACGAGGTCCAAGACCCAGGACGACCACTAAACAGCAGAGGCGAATCAAAGCAAACCGCGTCTCCAACCGTCGCAGTGATCTATTAAGAAAGACTCAATGTACTTTTAGGCAAACTTCACGATTATGAAGACTTACTTCAATAGGGGCTATGAACGAGTCGCAAGAAATCCGTGCAAAATCCTCCATTTTCGGATCATTGGCATCCCACACATGCAGCACAGCTTCACCTCGTTTCAAACATTCAACGAGCAGCACATTCGGGTCCGTCTTGTTATCCTCTTTCGTGGTGGCCCACAACACCCTAGCTACGTCGTAACGCGACAATTGATGTCGAACCGATGCTGTCACGGCGTGGAATTGACGACCAAGCTCGTCCCGAAAGCTGATGTGTGAAAGAAATACAATGAAGTTGAAATAACAGTAAAACGGAGGTAATGCGATATGTACGAACTTAAAGTTTATGATGAAAATTTAAATAATAAAGAATTATCTCGCCAAGATTCTCAAATTTTTCAAACCGAGTGAGGGGTTCCTTAGTCATCCTGGAAATGTCATTGAAACAACTACAATAAACAGTCGCAATAAAATTCACGAAACAAAAAAACACGGGAGACTCACCTAATTTGCAGGTTGACTTGATGACCAACAGGGATGCTGTGAACGTCACCGATACTGTCCACTCGCAAGCGACGACTTGCAGAGGCCATCAAATAGTGATACGGTTTTATCGAGATGAGGAGAGCAACTGCACGATGAGTGGAGTCCTTCAACAGCGCCAAGGTCTCAAGGCTCTGCGAGCCAGTCGTCAACACGCCATCGGACGTCAATGCCGCCGCATCCAAGGAGTCCTTTATGAAGGAAAGCCGAGCAAGTTGATTTTTGCGCTGAATCGCGGAACAGATTTTCACCCTCTTTTTTTTTTTTTACTTTACCTTTGGGAAGAATTGCACTTTCTCATTTGCAATTTTGTTCGATTGCAGCACCAGACGCGTATTCGGGGTTATGAAAATTGCTGCTCCAGGGCTGGAAGGTGGATGTGAAAGAAGATGATCCACGACTGTGATTTTTACCACTTCTTGAAGAACTCTGTTCATGTAGATCTATGAAAATAAGAAATGTAGAACAGTAAGTCATGATTTCGAGCCAGCGCGACGCACAAACAGAAAAATTACAGGATTTTTTTTTGTTTTCTAGTTGCGCATTAAAAAAGAATCTCAATTGTAAGGAAAAGCGCATATTTTGAAAGAAAAAAACTGCGCACAATGACAAGAAAATTACAGAACTTGTTAAAATCCTTTAAAAATTTTCAAAGACTTTCACGAACAAGAAAACTCCAAGTACACTTACCAAGAATAAATTAACTTTCCAAGAAAAACTGTAGCCAAGTTGACCGGCGAGATTATGACTGAACATGGAACACATGAACAAAGCGCAGTGGAATACGTACTTGGTTCGAATGGCGGTCATTCGATGCCACTAGAGACTTGACAGTGACACGGAGCTGAACTTCCCCCGGCGCGACGGCATGGACTCGAACAGCAAATCGATTCACATCGCCCACGTCGCGAATATTCGCATTCGACAAAGGACCACTCAGAACGACAGCAGCAGCACTTGGCACGACCGACCACTCGACCCGGAGCTCGGGATTCGACGCACCAAAAACCATCGGCGTCAGCTTGCTGAAATCCCGGTGCCCAATCACAAGTGCCGGCATTTCGGATCCTGCCAACAACAAAAGTCTTCATCAAACGACCAAAAAATGATCACCTCAATTAATACTGACCTAGTTCCAAGGTTTCGACAGGAACGTGAAGGAAAATTCCCGTCAAGTTTACAACGTGCACGTAAATTTCGTGAAATGAGTACACTGTCAACCTATCATCACTGGAACTCGCCGATCGGGTCGAAGTTGTTTCCATTCCATGAGACTCAGCTCGCAGCAAAGCTATTCCTAAACGATGCGCTTTGACTATTCCGGAATCCGTCACGGTTGCCACCGGAAGATTACTCCTGTCGTTTTTCTCCCGATGCACATCCTTGATAGAGAACTGAAGTGCACCTGCAGGGCTCGGTCCACCGGTTGCTTCAACCTACCGAAAAACAATGAACACTCGGTATAAACCATGAAAACACCCAGGTTTCTTAATTTCACTTACTTGTAAAATAGATCCTGGGACGAGGGTAATGTTTCTTGGCACCAACTTCAGAGCAGGGAAAACGTTGATGTTAACTGAATTGGACTTCAAATTGCCCGCTTCCAAAGCTAGTGTCGCTTGGCCAATTGCAAGACCATCGATCTTCAACAAAAATTCAGAAGAGTGCTTCTCCAAGGGAGAAATTTCCACTCTCAAGAAATTTCCGCTCAACAACGGTTTAAGCTTCAAAAATGAGAGAGATTCACCCTCAATCAAAAATCCTCGTCTGAAATATAAAACACCAAATTAAATTCGGGGTGTCCCTGGATTTCTTCAAATTTTCATTGAATTTATTTTGGTCAGGTTCAGCGCTGGGCATTGAATTTTACGCTTGGATACATCTTGAAAGAAATTTGAATCTGAGCCAAAACCTATCTGAAAAATAAAACCTATGCTTCAAGAAGGCAAAACTTACTTGTCGTAAATCGTGGCAGATGCAAGGACGGAATTGCCAACCTCCACTTTGGACACAGACTGCAATTCAATCCTTCCCACCCCGGACACTGAAACCACTGCCGATGACTCAGCAGGCAAACACAAGTCCACAATCTTAACTTCACAAGCGCCATCGCGGACTGGAGTTAAATCGATGACACGTAGCTGCTGATTCAGCTTCGCCACCAAATCTGAACATTGGGAAGTCACGTTGAAAACTCCAGAACCTCCACGAATTCCAATATTGGCGACGTTCATGGGGTGGTTAAAGATGGAAACTTTCGACGGCATCAATGACACCCTTTCGACGAGATTCAGAGCCAGTGCTGCCGTCATTGGGGCGTACTCCCGCCAGTGAACTTTCCCAACTGAGCTGTCTGATCTGTAGCCTGAAGACACACGATGCATTTCAGTCCCTAACTGAATTATTATTTTGCCAATTAATCAGCCACGACTCACTTTCAATTATGATTTGCACCGTCACTTGGCCAGGCGAACCACCAGGAATGAGAGAATTTTTCAAAACCCCAACCATCTTCTCCTCGCCCAAAGTTCCAGACTCGGTTCCAAGTTTCAATTGCTTCGAATTCGACGAGGCAGTCCAATGAATACCCAGCGAAGACACGGAAGTGAACTGTCTTCCTTGCGAATCCAGAACTCTTGCGATGAAATTCGTCGTCTCGGAACAAAATGCAGGAACCGTCGGAGGAGATACTTTGCCAGAAGAAGCCATCACTGGACATAAGCCCCTGGCGACGTTCGCTTGGTTTTGATCGATGCTCAGTTCAACCGATTTTGGAACTTCGCAAAATATTTTCACCGTGACGGAATCTTCCACGGGACTCGGCAACGATTTCGAAGGCAAATTCCCTGAAAAACAAAGAAAATGACGTTAAATTAATCGTATCAATAGAATGTATAATAAATCTCACCAACAACAAGCGTAATGGTAGTTTCCCCCAGATCTAAGCAGGCTAATTCAACACTGTAATCTCCCATCCCAATGTCAGTTGCCGATTTTTTGACAGCCAACAACGACTCATTGCCTGACGTCGCCTTCGCATAATGATAACCAGGATTTGCGACCCACGGATGAGGTCCTCCGACGAATTTCAAGTTGAACTTGGATGCAATTGCAAGCACAATTTCCTGATGGTCCTTCAACCGTAGTTTCTCAAAGAATCCGACGACTGTCGATGACTTCAATAGGGCGTTTTCTACTGTTCTTCCAGCAATCGATACAGTCGGGAACCCAACCACAGAACCTTCAATATCAATGAGGGAACATGCAGATCCGACGCTGGATTCCGAGGATCGCGGTTCACCACTAGTGAGAAAATTTAGAAGCGTACAAAATCAGATGATCATTCCTTTGGATGAATTTCTATTTTATTATTCAGGCATCTCAAAAATGTGTGAGCTTGAATTATGGTCAGATGTCAATAATTGCTTTTTTTTTTCGAGTTCAAGATTCAGGCAACGCCCGTCTGAAGTTGGAAAAAAATTCAACAAGACGATAAAAACAGGAAATTAATCGAAGGGTACTTCAGGGTATGCAATCGGCGGACATCCCAAATACTGTACCTGGTAAAATGTTCCGGATCTGAAGTAGTCACGTCAAGAGGGAAAAACTGGCACTGTGTGAAAGTGATCGCAGAAGACGTTATCTTCGTTGGATACAAGGCAACCGAAAGTTGAAGTTTCGAACCGATCACTGCTTCCCGAGGACCTCCGAGAATTTCCATTGCAACGGCAGGACCAAGTCGAATTTCAGCAGAATCTTTGTTGTTCGAATTTCTCAGCATAGTTACTTCAACAACGCCGTCGGATGCGGAGGAAGATATCTATAGAGACAAACGCATAACAAGGGTACATAGCTATACAGTGATTCCTGAAAAAAGATTTAGGCTTCAACGATCTGACTTAATCTAGCGAAATCGAATGGAAGAGCTTTTCACAGGAATTGAAAAAAAATAAAAGTGATGAAGTACAAGCAGATGTCCCGAATTCATTAACATTTTCCGCATTTGTTCTCAGTTTTTGATCACAAAGAAAATAGATCAGCAATAAGAAAAATTCATCACGCAGTGGAAAGTTCAGAATTTTCCACGTGTTTTAGACAGTCGCAGAGACGGAATCAGAGTTGCTTCAAAATGTGGGACTGAGGACTGCGAAGTAAAGTATACTTCATTCTACTTCAGCAATGAATGTCTGAAGGAAACACAATAAATTCGGAAGCACACAAAATGAAATTTGGACTGATTTCTCAAATTACAGTTCACTCATAAATTCTGAGGAATAATGCACAATTTAAACCATTTCCCAACATCCATTTCAAGTACAACATGGATTTTTTGGATCTTCATCTTGTGATTCCGAAACTTGAAAAGAAAAACAAACTTCGGAAGAAGAAAGAAATCGAGAGGCTGGAAAGCAATAAAATACCTTTGCTATTCCCCGTTCAGAAACAGCCAGTCGTGACCCGTTTCTTGCAATCCAGTTGTACTGTCCATCGCCACCAGTAGCTGCAAAAGCTATTTGATACACGTTTCCAGAAGACGAGTCGTGCGGAAGCATCACTTTCTTGGGCTTGATTTGAACCCTGGAGAAAACTTCGTACTTGGCAGTTCCCGTCACCTCTTCGTAATTTCCATTTGCCACCAAATTCTTCGTATTCAGAGTGGCAACGATTTCAGATGCACCTAAGGCATTCGCTTGAATAACAGAATACGTTCCATTGGAAGTGCGCGATAATACCTAAAAATTTTTAATATCAGTCTCGCTAATTCCCAAGATACATACAACGCTTCGAAAGTACACACCCGAAAATGATGTGGAAAATCCACGTCGACCTGAAGTCCTTCACTCGGATATATCAGTTGATCGTTCATCGAATAAACTTCAATAATAATTTCGTAAATTTCCCCGGCAACAAAGGCGAATGAGCCACTTTCAGGATAACTTTTCGGAACGGCGACAATAGAGATGTAGGCAGGCAAAACGACATGCAGAACAGACATTGTCGGGTGCATGGTTTCCGGGTACTTCATATTTCTATACCTAAAAAAAACACATTATCTTCATTTCAGATCATTAGGGGTACAACTTGACAAACTTACTTTAGAACGATTTCAGAGGATCCTAGTTTTTGAGCAGTCACAATTCCCAAATCCTCGTCCAGTACGCAAACAGACATGTTTGAGCTCTGGAAATGATACTGCGCAGAAGGCAAGGGCAAGACGTTGAACTGACCCCGTTTGATCTGCGACAGCTTGAGCTGAACGCGCGACTGTGGCACTAGGTAAAATATGCTCGGACTTAAGACAAGATTCGCAATGACTGATATTTTCACACTGACGGGTTCCACGTTTCTAAAAATTAGAAGCAGGTGAATGAGGACAAGTCGATTTCAATAAAAATCCAGAAACTCACTTGAAAACGCTGTCAGCAAGCTTTGCCTTCAGCACGGCAGATCCAACATGAAGAGCTTCCACCAATACCACATGACCTCTTGAACCGTGCTTCTCCATTTCTTGGATGTTCGCGTCGGGCGCTTCGTAGGGAGACTCAGCATACGTCAAAAAGCGTAAAACGCGTCCATAAGGAGAAGACTGAAAATGATCAGATTGGAGCTTGCATGAAAAGAACGATCAAATCAAGATTTCACCACTCACATCCGCAGAATGGTCAGCTTCGACACTCCATTCAAAGCTTAACGCATTGATCGATGAAAATTGATTCCCTTGATGGTCCAACGCGGTGATCTGTGAAGGAAGTAAATATCAAGCTTTTGAAATGAACAACAAATTGACACAACTCACCTCGAAAGCAACTGGGTTGTCGTCAAGATAAAGTTCCCGGGCGACAGTTTTGACGTGGATGGAGGCTATGTCCAGGACAACTGCCTGACATAGCAGCGTGAGTCCCGTCTCGGGATCTTTAGCTTCGATGGTCACCGTCGCGGGAGAAGCTTTTTTCGAAACTCCAACAACAAATGCCTTCGTCGAACATCCAGTTTGCTCACTCCGTACCTCAATTAAATCGGGGCGGGAGGAAGTCCATTTATAACACCCTCCTTCGATGACGTGGAGCTCCATTGAACTCGGAGTGCCAGTATCGACAGGGAGAAGTATGCGCGAAATACTCAACTTTCCGGCGCGACAAGCAAGCGGTAGAAGTACGAATACTACCATCGCTAAAAAACACACACTCCAACGTTTCATCGCCATACTGTCACCTGAAAAAAAAATAGACGAATCCAGCTCAAAAGCATCTTCATGCGTTTAACGCAACTAGAAACACTGCCGCTTTCGAGAAACAGTCCAACAACCAGTTCAGTTACCACCTCAAACTCCGGCGAACGAGCACAAGAAGTCAAGAAGTTGAATAATGCCGGTCGAAAGCTTTCAAGGAGACACATTGCCACAGTCGATTCTTGTGGGAGAACCATACGTACAGGTATTCATTTATCATAGATGTCGCACTTGACACGGAGTAATTTCGGGCGAGCATGGACCCTTCGAACAAATATGGCGGTACTGAACAGTAATATTGGCGAATATTCCATAGTTATCTCAACGAGAAATCTGGTCGAACGGGTCGCATAGCGCGCAAATAAACTAGAAAAAAATCTATGGAACTGGAATTGGCTTCCGGGGGCGAATAAGACAACAATAGAGAAGTGGTGCAAGAATTTTCGAAGAAGACTTTCTGCTGTTGATACGGGATTCTATCGTATGTGGCACTCCATTACGTGAACAACGATGGAATTTATTCTTGAACACGTAAATTTATTATCCTGATTGATACTTGATTTCAAAAAAGTGTGGCAACGTATCCAGGTGATCTGTGCTGATGCGAGTTTTCAAATTTCTGAGAGAGTCTGGTCAAGACTTCACTTCGCGATTTTAAATGAATATTAATGCGTGTTTTGTTCAATGTCTTTGTTCTCGGGTCTCCGGCAGTCATTAAAAGCTGAAGAATGCGGTACGTTGGAAACCCTCTCGGAAAATAAAAACGACGTGAATGCGGTTTTTCTTTTTTACCGTCGAGGAATCTTGAAGAAACTGCGGTAAAGTGTGTTACTTTCACGACTTGGTTCACAGGACTCTTACAACCGAATATCATGCTCGAATTTTACTAGAAGTACTGTATTGGAGGGTTTATTTGAAGAATTCGGATGTGTTGAACTCTTGGGGGTCTTTTTCTTTGTGCTTCAATCTATATACTGTAGTTACTTTTTTTCATTTTTTCGCGACGGATTCCGTTTTTTCCAAGACTTCGAGGCAGGGTTTTTTTTTTTCGATGAATAAATTAGTGTATTAAAGTTTGTACAACGGTGTTCTTGTGGCAAGCTGGGTCGCGTGTTGCAATTGGTCAACTTTTTTGAGGATTAAAGAGAAGAACGAATGACGTACGAGTAAGTGTGTATTCGGTAGCCCCGAAAGGTGCAACACCTAGTTGATGCTGCGTTGTTTTACATTTGGATGCGTCATACCGGATATGTATGTATTTTTTGGAATATACGGCGATGCTGAACTATTTTGTGGCTTTTTGCAGATATATGACGATTTGGTGTCGTTTTTATGTGTCACATATGTCGCGTAGCTGACATTCCTTTGATTCCGGCGCCTGCGCCGCGTCGTATTCCTTGGAAACTGACATGAACTCTTCGTATGTCTAGGAATGGCTGGAAAGGTGAGATATTTTTTCCTTCTTCGCCTGGCAAAGCCGTGAGTTTCCGATTGGATGTTCCGTGAATCTGGGATGAGTAGTAGCAGCGATATTTGTCTGGAAATTCTGTGTCGTCATGTCATGGCTCCAATAACGTCCGTTCGAATCGTGTCAGTGCATTGAAATAATGCAAATGATCGTGATTGTCCTGGTATCAAAGCTTTAATTACAGTAAATACTGACGATATATTTGAATGTGTTGCAGCAAAACGTTCAGGTGCGAATTCTTCTGGGTCACACGGTCAAGAAAAGAGCGTTCCCCAGTTCGGAAGGCTACACCCACGACTGGACTGTGTTCGTTCGCGGAGATGTGGATGTCAATCTATCTTGCTTTGTGGAGAAAGTGATATTCACCATTCATCCGAGTTTTCCTAGACCGAAACGAGGTAATTTATGTCATTTCCACAAATTTTCATTTGAATTGCTGCTGTACAGTATTGCATTAGTACGATTCATGTTGTAGGACGAGTCTTTGTCGATGTTGCTTGAATAAGCAAAACGAAGTCTTCAATTCTCGTGATTGTTTCGTATCGTTGATGGAATTTAAAAATATAATAAGCGTTTTGCGCAAATTTGAAAGCTAAGACGCATTATAATTTTTCATCTCAATTAAGACGTACTGGCACTTGCTTTACAAGAGTTTTCAATGTTACAGAATTGTTTTTTCACTTTTTTGCATGAAATAGAATAGAACGACGTCAATAAGAACATTGTAATTATCAATAAATATGATGCGTTGCGATGTTGAAATTCAAATAAAGTTCCATTCGAATTTTTAAATGCAATTTTTCGTGTTAACCATGTCATGACCCGGAAAAGAAGCCGCATCACCTCGGTATAAACCATTTCGGAATGCCCAGATTTCTTTTTACGTTCGCACTTGAAACTAAATTTTTTATGTCACATTTTTGCTCAGATTGTTTGTAGAATTCCTTCTCAAGTGGCATAAGGGCATTCATTTCGAGGAATTGGCGCCCTTCGTCGACCGCAAAGTGAATTAGCATTTTGTATATGAACCGGGAACGTTGTAGATTCTGATACGAGTTCTCAGTTTCAAAGTCGAAATGAGCAAAATCGGTCTTGAATTTGTGTTCGGGTGTTATTTCAACTAACAATTTAAAAAATGTACATTTTTAATCTATCGATTCTCTTGTCTAACTTTATTTATTTTTTATTTTTTTTACCAAGTACCAATTCGTGTATGCATGTTTCTTCTTTTCCAGTTGTGAAAGAGCCTCCGTATGAGTTGTCGGAGAGTGGCTACGCCGGGTTCCTGCTCAAGATCGAGCTCGTTTTCAAGACCAGCCTCGAACCGAGAAGCGCCAAATTCGACCTTGATCTGTTCTTCAACAGCGACCCTTCGATGGATGCCAATTCGATCCGTCCCGAAAAGCTTACGTTTCAGAAACCGGGAGAGGACTTCAAACGAAAACTACTGCCAGGCGGGGGCGTGAGTTATTTTTATTTTAGCCGCTTTCGCGTTTTCAGTACATTACAGTACTGCGGTTGGCCTGATATTTTAGTTATAAAATTTAACATTTAGTGCTTGTGATTTCTTTTCAATTTTCTGTTTTTCGTGCTATATCATTTCTCTTTTTTGGCCCAGAAGTCGGATTTTATCTTTCAAGAATTATTTTTCTTTCGACTTCAATGCATGATCTTGTTTTTTTTTAGGTACACGGAAGCCAAGGAAGCAGTCATGTACCTGGATATGTTTTTGCTGATGTCTGTGGCGCACAGCTTCATTTAAGTCAGCAGTACAAGAATCATCATAGTAACCCATCTATACTGCAAGCAATTTCTTTCATTCATAGAAATCATGATGTTGTGGTCTTGCGAATAATTCTGTGTGCATATTTGTGAGTGTCTCATGTGTGCAATTCGTATGTATGGAGATTCTTCTCGACCAATGATATAACTGTGAGTATAACCCGCTGGTTATTGATTGGAAGATGAGAATAAAAACGCTTTGAGCGGGAGGGGTCAGAGGGATGGTAGGGTTGATGTAACAAAACTCACTCATATCACACACCGAACACTTGATATGAAGTGTGTCTGTCTTCATATGAAGATACACACTCTTCATGTAATGATGCGCATCATAATATCATATCCTACCCATAGAATATATGAAGTGGCGTACACAAACGCAAACTCATCATTCGAAGTAACCGACATAAATGCATGATTCGAATAAATCATACACATACATGTAAGGATAAACTGTAACATAACATTTACACCACCTTATGACATAAGGACACAAAAAAACTCCATAACACACAGTTATATTCACATTTATACTTATTAAGACATAAGGACACACACACCAGCACATCTATGGTACAAGATCAAGTACTAAAATCCATCGTAAGTAGAAATATACATGTGTTCAACCAATATGCTTGAATGTACACTCACAAACCAGTATTATTTAAATTAGAGTATGATGAAATTCTGATCAGGTAAATTGGAAAAATGCAAGTTTCTCAACTGATATGTACACAGACAAATTATAAAGGCCTTAGCATAACGTATGAAAATATAAATTGATTCGAAGATACATTTAAACTTGACCTATAAAATCATACATATGTAAAAGGAACTTTATTGTGTGAAGAAAAGTTGCAGAAAAATACAAACATACTTGAGCACATTTGTAATGCGCATTTGATGATGCATGCATGTGTCATCAAATGCGCATTACGAATTTATACAAATGAACGTGAACATATTTCTCCTTTGAACACGTACACAGATGTCATTTATCACCCAATTCTAAAATATCTCATTGCAAGAAGGAATATGAAATATAAACAAACGTATCATTTAAAGACAGATATTAAATTATGCACATTAACTTCGATAATATAATAAGCATGAAAACAAGAAACCTCAATTGTACCCACTATCAAAGTCATGCTTATATATTCGCGATCATATAAAAGGACGTACAGTATAAGCATTCAGAAATATAAATATGTATCATACAGTGTAACCCAAAATGTCCATTATATACTATAATCAAAATCTAGTTAACACAAATGAATTGAATAATAGAACATATATAATTATATACTGTATTTCGCTTGTTTGTGAATCAGATGTAAAATTAAATACTGTACTCATCGCAAATCATATATGAATGGTAACATTTGTCTCGCAAAGTGAAAAATGATACGTGATATGCCTGGGCTTTAAAGTATAAAGCACTGTATATAAAATGTCATTATAAATCAACGTGTTCAACAATTTACGTTACTATGAGAAATGTTATGAACCATACTTATTTAATGTTGACGAATATATTCCATTATGTCTGTATTGAATATGTATGCTCCACATGCTGCTTAAGATTGAAAATCCGGAACTTCATATAAGTTATACATTGATAAACGTTGCATACCTGTTCACATCAAGTGATGTGTTTCTTGAAAGATTGTACCAACATTCAAATTATTCCTCATTTTACCTGAAGTTCTCAAGAAAATATGTGACAATAGGATATAGGGATAATCTGCAAACTACTGTCACACGCTTCCTTTTTTACCCACCATATTTGTGAGAGAAGTGTAGTATTGTTACATGGCACGGAAATTGTGTATACAGTATTTCGTTACAAATAGTACATGTTGCATAAGGCGGACGTAGCTTCAAAAATTTGTAAGGTAAAAATTGAATATTGGTGTCGCGAATTACATGTTGCATCATTTAGGTGTGCGATGAAGTACTGTATTTCGAATTTCTCAGGTTTTACGCAGAGGCATTACTTCGGCACTCCAGGATTTTAAATTATATGAATGTTCAATATAGAAACACGGGAAATACGCGTTTCTGTGAAAGGTTAATGGGAAGGTACAGTCACGTAAATTCCTTTTGATTAGCATTTGGTGATTCTGACGTTTTAATATTTGAAAATGTTCAATCCGAATTTTCACCATGAAACGGAAGTTCGAGTGCTGAATAACTTCATGCCGGAAGAATGACCAGCGACACTATTAACTGTTTGATATTGCAATGTGTAACTTAGAAAATTCAATATGGATAACTTTGAGTTAGTATATTAAGTGTGAGTTGACCATTAAAGTTCTAGAAATATAACTTATTATTGCCTCCGTGCTGAGCGTGAAAAAAACCATTGAATAGAAAGTACTTAGCTCGAAGTAACCCATTTTCATAATTTGATCCTTTCATTGTGAGGATTATACAAGTAGCGTGAGACAATTTATACCTTCCTGAAGTAAATGTGAAAGTTAATTTTAATATGAACCAGTGGAAGTTTACAAAGCACCATTGCGACAGTGTAACATACGTTTGTAAACAAAACTTCGCGAAAATCGATGGATAAAAGAGCACGTGCGTAAATTGTAAATAATTGCCACACGGTACTTTCCTTGGAAAAAAGTAGAGCTGTTCATTTTCTGCCCTCTGCAATTTCGACTAGAAACCACTCTTCCATATCGCGAAAGATTATAGGAAAAACAAAGGCGAGACTCTGGCATCACAATAATCCCCACCAGCACATAAAACTGAATTCACACGAAATCGGAATCATGAAAGAAAGAAACGTGCGATATCGTGAGGAACAATTCTTGAACTAGTTTTGTTTTTCTTGAAATAGCTGCCAGCAGAGGGCCTTGTCGTCGTCGTCGTCGACCTTGAAATTATCGCCGTCGTCACCACTCGTGGTGTGTCGTCGACAAGCCGAGTCACGAGGATGAAATCCCGTCAGCTTCGCATCCATCACGTGACGACACCTTTATTCGGGGTCAAACCCTATGAAGTGAAGCAATCCCAATTCTTAACCGCATTTCTCCACAGTGTGTCGAGCATGCATTCTCATCTTCATCAAACACGACCAAAATAGCTGCTCTATATACACATGCAGCATCAAACAAGGCAAGACCAGCAATTTAAAATTATAAGCGTCAAACATGTGTTCCTCACCGATGCGCAGCTTGGCGTATTCATCCGGAATAAAACTTATGATGGAGTCTGGAACGACGAGGATGACTAGATAGTTTGACTAGATTCGGCCTTTGCCTTCTGTCGGCAACGGCTACCTGCAGAAAACGAACGAAGAAAAAAATTGAAAACGACGGAATTATATTCTACGTACAGCCGAGGACGAGGACCTACTGACGTTGATTATTTCGTATTAGTGAGAAATGAAGCTGATGCTTAAGATCGTTTAAAATTGGCTGCGCTTGTGACGACGACAACAAATAAATTCAAAATACTGTATCGTAAACTCGACAGCAGTAATAATCACCAACGTGGAATTTTCGCAGCCAAAAAACGAGTTGTGAGGATAATTTATGTACTGTACTGTACTGTGATCTATATGTAACTCACCAGAACGTTCATCGCTGATTTCGTCCCAGCAAGAAGACGATCAAATGACTAGACCATGCGACTAGATCCGTTTGCTGAATGAACTCCGACTAGAGGTGCCATCTCTGAACTGTACACTGGCAATATATGACTAGGACAGTGTTTCTTCTTGACTAGTCCACGAATAAAAATCCACTCGACTAGTTCCAATAACTCTTGCACTCGACGAAATCGCCTCTCTTATTCCCAGCAGCTTCCATACACCCCACCCTTTCAGCACGGATCCACTCATTGCGTAGTACTTTATATGACTAGACGTGTCGCCACTCAAACATATGACTAGATTAAGCCTTCTCAACATCCAGAGAAGGTGACTAGGAATTTCTTTTGCGACTAGATGCTAGGAATGACTAGAACTGAAGCCGGACCAGCAGGATGAGAAATATATAACTGCACAAAGAAATTTAAATGCCGAGGGAGAGAGATGAAGATAAAAGATGGGAATATATAGCTTGATGACTAATATAATATAGGTGGTGACTAGAAATGTTATGGTTTATCCTGATGAAGTCGACTAGTTGGAATCCGTAGAAATGAGATCAAGCATATGGACTTTCCGTGCCCAGACACACGGAGTCCGAGCGTTGCAACGAGATCGACTGCGAGCAGCAGAGATTCAAAAATAAATACAACACTTGTACAAAAGAGTGACTTATTTACGCTGTACTGTACACTGCACAAACATACAAAAAAAACACTTTCCCTAATTTCCTACAACAGTGGATGATGGTATATACTGTATATCCGCACTTGTAAGGTGGGGGGGGGGGGGGGGGGGGGGGGGGGGGGGGGGAGACAGGCAGCAGGCGGGGGAATCGAGCAGGCGACTCGTGAGGCTGTGACTAGATGCCGACCCACAGCCGAGTGACGAGAACGCGGCTCGAGTCGCGCGCTTTTTCCCTCGCGCTGGCTGCGGATGCTGATGGCATGGACAAGCATGGCTTATTCCACTGTATGCTGCATAATGATTGATAACCAAGCAGGCCCGCGCAAGTCTTCTGCTACTGCATCAAACCGTGGAAGTACGTAGCTTGAGCTTCATGACAAGTACAGTAATCGAATCGGACGTATGTGTGACGAAATTGAACAACGCATTGTCTCAATGTAATATTTTAGCTAGACTGTACAAGGAAAAAAAAAAAAGAAGACTGTAACTCTCACCAAGTCTAGTTCCTTTTAACCCTCGAGCAGTTATGTCAGATTTTTTCAAAACTGTATTTTGACTTTCTTGCGTGATTTAGAAAAAAGCGACTGTCTGTTGAGGGCAGAGTCAGAAAAAATTTTATTTTTGGCAATTGCACAGAAACATTTTGATAAAGAAAATACATCCTCAAGACTAAGATTGAAGTTTGATTCCTGTTTAAAGATTAAATAGGAAAAAAAACAAAATGGAAAATTAAAAGTGCCTTCTTATACATTGTGAAAAAACATGACTTTTCCCCAGTCCACTTGCTTGGGCTTTTTTAACTTTCAGAGAAGTTGAAACACAGCACTACATACAAGAGAATCTATACTTCACCTGACGATGATGGAAAATAACCCTTTATACTGTACTATGAAAGGGTTCACTGGGTCATTTCAGCTCTGGTAATTTACCAAGTGGCTAACAAATCATAGGTATGTGGTTCCTGCCCTAGCTTACAAAGATTTCTGTGGACAGAAACATAGTTTCACCGAAAAGAAAAAAGAAAAAAACCGATTGTCCCAATACAGCTGAGGAACATTATTGCAGCAATCAAACTTTATGCTGGAGCAAATTGTGTTTCTTATCTGATAGGACCCAACAGTATAATGCACTCACACAATACATGTCACTTCATAGCAGTGTTAACCTGTAACCAGATTGTTCTTCTGCAGGGTAATGTTTGTACATTCCACCAAATCCATATAATTAAACAAAGATATCGCATTTACTCAAGTAAGACGACATTTACCTTCGTTTTTTGGCAACATATTTTCTCAAAAAGGTATCTCCAGCTACATAAGAATTTAAGACACGCATCCCAATTTTACATGGTTGAAATTTGATTTTGTTATTAGCCCAATTCGACTTCCTGATTTTGAATGGGTCTTTCTTGAGGCAAACTTTAAAAATACGAGTATGGCCTATTCCATGAACTTTCCAGTGCAGGTACTGTACTGTACATCATACAACTCATGAAACTTATTGAAGACTCCCAGGGTTTGGAACAGTATGCTGAACTGTACCCCCAGCAGCATGGTATAAGGTCGAACGCGTTGTTCTGATTTGCTGGCCACAAAGGTGCCCTGTTGTCTGATCTCCCCCCCCCCCCCCCCCCCCCCCCCCCCCCCCCCAAAGGTGCCCTGTTGTCTGTCCCCCCCCCCCCCCCCAACACCCCATGGGGTAAAAAAAAAGGAAAAAAGGGGGGTTCAGAATGCCGACCAGATGCCCCCAGCAGCGACAGACAAACCAAGCAGCAGCAGCAGCAGATGGCTCATCCTCATCAGGAAAATCTCCCCAACCCTGACAGGCATTATCAGCATTCCCTGCTTTATTTTTTATTTTTTTTTTACTTTTCTAAACCTGGAGATAGCGAGAGAAAGAGAAAAGGCAAGAGATTGTTAGCGCAGTCACAATTCGGGGTACAACAGCACGGCACTTCTGTTCCGCGGACACTTGAGTTCTGGTCATCATAAGAGAATCAGCGAAGTTTGATTTCTATATATCTTACGCCGAAAAAGATGACTGGTAAAATTCTTGAAACAATATTTTGAAATTTCAAGTTCCAATAGAAAGTATTTATTCAAACGGAAGCACTTAACTTTAATTACGTACAACACTTGATTTTATGAATGCGATAAGTCATATCTTTGTATCATATTCCACAAATGCTAATATAAGGCAGGTGTGATGACAATTTCAGCATCAGTTGTCAAAAAGAAAAAAAAAAACGATTCTGCTGCAGAGGGTCTGCGGCCAAAAATACTGCTTCAAAGAAAAATGACGACGAGGGTGGGCGACAATCCTATCATAGGTCATCACATTGTTGCGAGTTCAGTGACAAGAGTGACCCCTATTATCAGTGGTTTCTATTCGGTCGGGCACACCTTTTTTTCGGGCAAAAATAACATCATTTTTCCTGCATTCGCCAACAAATTATCGGGTTTCTATTCAAAGCACCAGCACTGCTGTACCCGTTTCGCGGAATAGAAACAGATAATTTTCAAAACATGGTCGTCCCTATATCCCAGGAAAGTTTCAGTCACGAGTAAGAGATAGAGAGAACGAGGTGAGTTCAAAAGTTTTGTCAAACGCCGCGGTATCGAAATCTTGAAATGATTTATTGGCGTTTTCAATTTTTCAAAATGAATTCTTGATCAACTGAATTGCCTTCAGTCTACTTACTTCATTTTGATGCTATATAAAGTACTTTTGTTTCAACTTTGACCAATGTCTCGCATGAACTTCCGAGATCCAGACACTTTTCCCTAGTCACACTATGGTAAGGTTTACTTATAGACCAAACTTTTAGCAACAGTACTTTTGAATTAATTTGTAAATAATTTTTGAAATACTGTAATTGAGATTCAAGTGAAAACATGATTACATTTGATTAATGAATTAAACTTCACCCCATTAAGGCCACGACGGCAACTATATCACGAAAAAAGTACTGTATTTCGATAAAACTGACGAGTGAGAGTGATAATTCAATTTGAAAAAAATACTTCTGAATGTTGAAGAATCCATTTGGACTGGAATAACATTTTAGGTTTAGAGCTTTCAAAGTGGCTTTTTCATCATCTTGGTTATCATGGTAATTAGGAATCAAAAACATGAAATTGGCGAGCTTTTCAAATTGTACTTTGAAAATTTAACGGTATTTTATATTTTTTTAAAGTTCTGTACACCTACATATTTTTCTTTGAAAATCGTCCCTCAATTTCCCGGGTCACAACTTTTATTTTAGTTGTGGAGCAGCATCCCAAAAATGTATTCTAAAAAAGCGACGTAAAGATGTGCAAAATACGCAGGTTTATTTGCTAGTACTGTACTAGCTGTGCAAAAATATGAACCTTGATCCCGTATGAAGATGCATACAACTTCCAAAATGTGTTTTTTTCTCTCACTGGCAATTAACCTGAATGGGCTGGTAACTTGTGTAAGTGCAATAGGGGGGTATGTCACAGCATAACTAACTGTGCTTCATTGGCATACATTTGTCCATATATAGCATAATGTGCAGTAAAGTACGGTACAGTACTGTACTGTGCTTTCATTCCGTCCAAAAAGCCGTGGATGATGACTTACGTACAGTATTGGAGTAACTTCAGTGTATAAGACGAAGCTTTTGAATACCAACCCCGATCGATGGATGCAAGATTCCACGCCAGCACACGACACGACAGCGACAGATATGAGCAGGGGACTTGTGCTGTCGATCCTCGAAGGTTAATGCTGTACGGGATTCAGAAAATAAACAGCAGCCGCCGCCGGACTGTCAGTCGATC